CATACGATTAACGTGATTCTCATAGTGATTGTAAAGTGCTTCGTTTATCGTTCGCGATAAATTTTACTGGATACAATTTGAAAGTCAGTAACCCTTCGACAATGATAACGAAAGTACTGAAGACAGCGGCCGAGCAGTGTCCAGTGCTCCACGAAGGAGACTACAAAGCAGTGGATTCGGAGGAGTATGCGGACGAGGATGCAATGTAGATGACGACGATGATAAGGTAGTCAGAGGTGAGCTCTGTGACAGGTGTGTACTTCATGGCCACTTTAATTTTGGTAGAAGCAGATCGGGAGTGAATTAGCAGCTTCTGAGTGGTTACAGAGAGCCATACAATTTACCTCATCGTGTTAGAGACCTAGAGAAACGCGCACAAGATTGTGTTTTGAACCTTCTATTCTCATTTTATCAGGAAAACGACCAAGTGGTACGGTAATTTCCCTCTATTACGATTTAAATGCACACGACTTTTGATCTTCTTAGTTTAGATACAAACGCCTTCGATTTCATTTAGTCGCACAGAAGTGCACGTCGAACTCGTAGAGCGAGTACTGATACCAATACCATACCAATACAAGATACTGTGAGTTTGTAGAAAATATAACGACACCTGAATTAAAGATGGGAGTTTTCTATGTTTAAGATTTCTGGGATGAACCAAATTTTTTGCGGCGTCCACTTTGAAACTTATGGAGCTCGTACCGACCATTGTGTCTCCTAATAAATGGCTCCTATAGGGGTCACGTCGTAGTGGTGAAAGTGTTACTTCAGAAAAGTAGATTGCTGGTAGTTACACCATCATTAAGCCATACCATTAAAGTGACCACAAAAATATGCGGACATTGTGTTGGCTGCTAAATGGTAGTAGCAAAAATTCATGACTCTAAATCCGTTGGCATAAAGCATGCGGATCAATACTAGAATCAGGTAGTGGAATAAATTTTTCTGTATAAACTGCCTAAATAATGCCCAAAAGAAGTTAAAGTATGAAGTTAATAATTGCTAGTATGTAAAAATTATCCATTGCAAATTGTACGCATTATAATGGTAATAAAATATATACAAAATGTGTAAACTTTAAAGATTCCTCCTAACGGCTTACCGCCTCATCGTGGCTGGGAGTTGTTTTTGGGTGTCGGGCTCCAATACACAGCGGGGGGATTCATCCCACCGGCAGGGCCTCCCAAGATGAGAAGACGTCCAGCGATTCTATCGGGAAATCCAGCTAAGAGTACACCAACACAAGGATTCACCTTTGTCCTGGTATCAAGCTACTGGCATAGTGGCAAATCTCCCTCTGATCCACAAGTGCAGCGACTGCCTGTGGTGGCAACGACCTAGGGCAGACTCTGGCCTGGCTAATCTCGGGACTTCAGGGAACCACAATGGCTAAACTAGCTAAGCTCCGAAATAATGGAAATTATGCTGAGGTCGCCAGCACAGCCAGTAAAGACGAGCCATTCAAGTATCTAAGGAAGTTTTTATTTTTTATTTATTTTATTTGACCCAGCGCTATGCGGATCCCAGCACTACTATGCGAATTCTCACATCCAATTTGTTTCCCCACATGCATTTTCCAGCCCACGAAGGCCTTCCAAGTTTTTACGCGTGGCTTTGGTTGCTGCTTGAGGATTTTCATTTCATCTTGAATGTCGTAGAATGCATTTCCTCCTGGAGTCCTGAGATAGCCGGGTTGGAGCGTTCCCAATTTGATTGCATAGAGTGTTTTCTTCCAGACAAGGCCGATACCCATTTTTCGATCCCAGAGAGGCTTGGTTTGGTCCGGAGCGGAATCCAACTAGCACCATTGTCGAACATCACTACCACTGTGCTATCCGCCCCGTATCTAAGTAATAAATTGGAAAGATTTTGGGTTATATCGAATTCTATTATGCAAACAGTTTTACCTACAAAGATTTTAGTTTGCAAGAATTGCAAATGGTATGCATAAAAATAGTATCCTCCCAACGGATTACCGCCTCATTGTGGCTAGGAGGTGTTCCTGGTTGTAGAACTGCGATGTGCGAGCAGGGTGATTCGTCCCACCGGCAGGGTCTCCCGAGCTGGGAAGGAACCCGGCGTTTCCATCAGGAAACCTAGGTAAGAGTAAGCCAATACCAGGATTCACCACCGTTCTGGTATTAAAGTCGCATGGTGGCAAATCTCTCTCTGACCCACAAGGGCTGCGACTGCCTGTCGTGGTAATGACCTGGGCAGACTTTGGCCAGGCTGATCTCGAGATTCCAGGGAACCACAATCGATTAACCATCAAATCTCCGAAAGATGGTGATTACGCTGGGGCCCGCACAACTAATGAGGACGGGCCGTTAAAGTGTCAAGTAAGCAAGAAAATGGTATATAAAAAGTGTTAGCTGTAAGAAATTCGTAAAAGGAATCTGTTTGGGTGTGGTGATTATAACATCAACAGAATGTTATGACAAAAATAGGTGGAAACGAGACACATGGAGAATACATAGATGAGTGCATAGTCCTTTTACAGAAAGATAGTATTGATGCAATCCAGTCCACAACTGTACTCTACAATTCACCTCATTCTTTTCACCAGCAAATTCCTCGTCCACAAAATGAACTCGCTCCGTAAATTAATAAGTGTAGAGAACGGCCTTCCATAGATGATGGACGTTACAACGCCTGTGATGACTAAGCCATTGACTGACTACAGCAGGTATGCAAAAGGAGTTGCATGCACCAAAATAAACTATTAAAAAAAAATCTGTCTCTATCGAGATCACATAGACCACAATGCTCCGAGACAAATGGCTCCCATAGAGGTTATGTTGCCAGATAGGTGTAAAGATTGTTACGGTCTAATTATGCGCGGTATGACCCTCCTGCAACGGCTCTCCCTCACGAAGGGATCCTCACTCGAGTCATCCTAAACAGGATTGAGATAACACTAAACGAAGGACGGCTATATGAGCAAGTAGGGTTTCGCAAAAGATTCAGTACGATGGACCACATCCATACTATAAAAAGATTCCCTGAAATGTCGCGATACTTCAAGAGACCCCTCTGTTTCAGCTTCATCGATTTGAAGAAGGCTTTCAACTCAGTTGAAAAAGAAGCAGTCATGGAAGGTCTTGATAGTCAGGGAGTCATTACTTAGCACACAAAGATTATTCGTGAGATGTATAAAGATTTCACAACTAAGATATCTCCATTATACAGCGATATTAACACCGACGTCCAAAGATGAGTTAGGTAAGACGATACCATTTCGCCAAAATTATTTCCCGCCACCTTCGAGAACGTCATGCGAACAGTGGATTGGAATCACATGAGCATGAAAGTCAAAGGTCGGCAATAACACCATCTTCGCTTTGCTGATGACGCCGTTGTTATATAAAACCAAGCAGTAGTGAGGACGAACGAATGCTTGCCAACTTTAACAACGCCTGTGAAAACATTGATCTTCAACTAAAACTCACAAAAACGATGTCGATGAAGGACGGATTGGGATTGATGTCGTGTCCACCATTCACACTAAAAGGAATGAATATCTCTGAATGCTCCAGTTACGTCTATCTAGGTGGGGAAATCAACATGATTAACGACTTACGTTTAAAATTGAGCAGGGAGAAGCGCGCGGATCGCTATTTGCCACGCGACTTTCAGGGATGGTTTCTTCGGCTATTTTTCTGTACACACACTAATACCCACCTGTTCAAAACGTGTTTCCTATGGTACCCCTTTTGACGTGTGAGGTGTGAGGGGAAGGGATTGAACCAGTATGACTTTCTTATTTGGCTTTCGGTACCACTTGGTGTTACCTCCGTTTCGGATAGGTTAACTTGGGCGTTCTGAAATGGAGACCAGTTTTCTTTCAGTTTCTCTATGGTGAACGTTATGTACTTCCACTCTTTGTCAATAACTCAAGATTTGCCTACCTTCTCTTGGGGTGGAGAGGCAGGGGTAGATGACGAAACAATCATCTATATATCTGCAGTAATGGCCGGACACCGCTTACTAGTACTTACGCCTTAAACAGAAAGGCAATGGCAAAGCGAGGTGCCAGTCCCTGTGCCATTGTCAACCCTCTAATTTGTGCGAAATACTTTACAAACCATCTAAAGATTGAGTAGTTCAGGCAATTCTTTAAGATGGTCCTGAGGTACTGAACCGAAAGGACATATGTGTTCGTTGCTCCTTCGTATTGCATACGGAGTTCGAGGAAGCCTTGAATGGCGGAGCCATTAACCACGTTTGCATAAAGAGCGATAACTTCAAAGAACTCCATCATGTATGCGTTGTTGGGACGTGTGTTACGTAGACTATCCAAGAACATGTGTTCGTGAGATAGGCTGTGATGTGTTTCAGCAAGTAGATGAGAATTAGCTTTGTAAACCAAGCTGTTCTGCCGATGGGCTCGTCTACACAACAGATGATGGCCCCAACGTTGAAGTTTGAGGTTTCGGTACACGCTCGACCAACAGCGGATACTAATAATTTTCGACAAGTGTAAGCACTCTCACAAAGTCAGCATCTGCAAAGAATAACCTGCGCACTCCTCGTTTGTGTTTTCGCATCATGATAAGGTCAGGAAAGCCAAGTGATTTAATGCGTCCTTTCAACAAATATGCGTTTGAAATAATTGTATCTTAAAATGCTTGTAAACACAGTATCTGTCACATCTTCTCCTAACGAGCAAATTAGTACTTTGCTCTAGCAGATAACTGTTTGTGCTTGGAAGGTGATGGCGCTGAGATGCTAGTTACGATAAAGAAATATTACCAACCTTGTGCAATCTTATCTGCTAAGCAAGAGATTTATGCTTTTCTCCAATACAAGGTTCTACATATTAAAAAATTTATTACGTAAGGGATATTCGGAAACAACAACTAACATAAACGTGACGCGATAAATAAACTGATCGATCGCGTGCATTGAACGCCCGCAATCACACCCGTGGAGCTAGATGAAAGCAAACAGGCCAAACAAGTAAGGAACTCCAACGTTTCCACTTATTACAAAGCCCTCTACAATTCGTCCTTGGAGTCTTCGCTTGTATCTCCAGCTCCTGGAGCTCCACCTGCGTCCTTGTAAAGCTTGCTAGTAATTGGCATGACTTTATTCTCAAGTTCCTAAAACCATAAAGATTATAAGTTTGGTAGAAAAGTCTGGTCCTGTGAAAGCAAACATAGTAAACTGTGAAAAAAAACTAAAGAGCTAGAATGCCTAAAATAATCATTGTAGAAGTGTGATATAACATACCTTCTTTTGCTCTTTAAGGTCATCAGCGCTTGCTTCGCGATTGTCCTCAAGCCATTTAATGGTCTCGTCAACGGCTTCTTCGAGAACCTTCTTATCGGCGTCATCCAATTTGCCACCAAGTTTGTCCTTGTCACTAATTTGATTTTTTAGTGAATATGCATAAGATTCGAGCTCGTTGCGGGCCTCGACTTGCTCTTTTACTTTCTTGTCATCCTCTGCGAATTTCTCGGCATCATTTATCATCCTCTCAATATCTTCTGGGCTCAGACGATTCTGATCGTTGGTAATAGTAATTTTGTTCTTGTTTCCAGTACCCTTATCTTCGGCGGTCACATGAAGGATACCATTTACGTCAATTTCGAAAGTAACCTGAAGTATTGAAATGATAACAAGATAAAGATAGGGAACAGACACGATGTTCATTACCTCAATTTGAGGAACTCCACGAGGTGCCGGAGGAATATTCGTGAGGTCGAATTTGCCAAGTTCATGATTATCTTTTGTCATTGGACGTTCTCCTTCGAATACCTTTAAAAGAACATTTAGAAACACAATACCTAGGACGTTTCTTTTTTTTCGCTTAATAAACTCTTAAACTAGTGCCAACGAAGTGTAGAACAAAACAAAGAGAATTCAAATATGTGCTATAAATGCTGGAGTTCCTCCTTTTCCTTTATCAAAATTTCAAATGTTTACTAAACCAATCACCACTGAAAGGACCTCAGATATTTCCCACATAGAAAAGCATTAAGAAAGGCCAAATATTAAGCTGCTCTTAGAAACTTGTAGTATTAAATACACCTAAGTATTGTAAAGTTTAATTAAAAAAAATTACCTGAATTGTTACAGTTGGTTGGTTGTCAGCAGCAGTTGAGAAGATTTGCGATTTCTTCGTTGGAATTACGGTATTACGATTAATCAACTTGGTCATCACACCTCCAACGGTCTCTATACCAAGAGTGAGCGGGTTCACATCAAGCAGCACAATGTCTCCAGTGTTCTCTTCTCCACTGATCACGCCTGCCTGGACAGCAGCGCCATAAGCAACTGCCTCATCTGGGTTGATACCACGAGATGGTTCTTTTCCATTGAAGAAATCCTTGATAAGTTGCTGCACTTTGGGGATGCGAGTGGAACCACCGACTAGTACAATCTCATGAACCTGCTCTTTCTTAAGATCTGAATCTTCTAAAACTTTTTGCACAGGCTTTAGCGTCGCACGGAATAGATCCATGTTGAGTTCCTCAAATTTGGCACGAGTTAGGGTCTCAGAGAAGTCCTCGCCATCCATTATGGACTCCACTTCTATTTTAGTCTGATGTTGAGTGGATAGCGCTCTCTTAGCTTTTTCTACTTCGCGACGCAACTTCTGAACTGAACGATGATCCTTTCGCAGATCTTTTCCAGTCTTCTTCTTGTAAAGCTTAATGAAATATTCCATGACACGTTGGTCGAAATCTTCTCCTCCAAGATGAGTATCTCCATTAGTTGCTAACACTTCGAAGACACCGTTGTCAATCGTTAACATGGAAACATCGAAGGTACCACCTCCAAGATCGAATACAAGGATGTTGCGCTCACCTGCAAAAAAAAAATACCAATCAAATAAATGAATGAACTTAACCCCCACCGTGAAAAAAGTACTACTGAGGCAACATGCCTATACTAATGGTGTAAGAGCCACAATAAAGTAGCGCGGCAATGAACTCGCTCACGCACCTTCCTTCTTATCAAGACCGTATGCGATGGCAGCAGCAGTGGGCTCGTTGATTATTCGTACGACGTTTAGGCCAGCAATCGTCCCAGCATCCTTTGTGGCTTGACGCTGCGCATCGTTGAAGTACGCTGGGACAGTGACAACAGCATGCTTCACCTCCTTTCCAAGATATGACTCCGCAATCTCCTTCATTTTTCCCAGCACCATAGCCGAAATTTCTTCAGGGGTGAATTGTTTCGCATCTTTTCCCACTTTAAGCGAAACATGTGGCTTATTGTTCCTGTCAATGATCTGAAAGAAGCAATTTACAATTATTACGTGACGATATGATGGTGTGGCACATTAACACGAATTAGGGTTTTATCCAATTATAATTCTTACCTTAAACGGCCAATGTTTCATATCGTTCTGAACCGTCTGATCACTGTAATCTCTACCAATAAGCCTCTTTGCATCGAACACCGTATTTTCAGGGTTAATTGTTAACTGATTTTTGGCGGCATCTCCTATCATACGCTCACCAGTATCGCTAGCGAAGGCGACATAAGAGGGTGTTATGCGATTCCCTGAAATATTTAGTTGTGAAAATATCTGCTGACGAATAACAGCTATAATATCGGCTATGAAATAAGTGGAAACGAAAAAAAAAAGTACAACAACAGTACTGCCGCATAATAGAAATAGCGGTTTGAAAGAGATCTAGCAACTAAATTCGTACTTGGGTGTCATAAAAAGGATAAAGCTCTCGGCGTTGATCAATCCCTGAGGGACGCGTCATGCACTCGACTTCATTAAGCATCGTTGGAGGTGATTGAATGCATATGTGGCCTTTACAATGACTCGCGGTGGCCTATCGATGTATCGAGCCAGTGCTGCTATCCTCCAAGACAAGTCAGATAGCAATTTGCCGACACTACAGGGATGGAAGACCTGGTGAGTCGAGCGCGGGGATCGATCCCATGTGTATTGCAGGGCTTCTCCGACCACTGCGCTTCACGCGCTCCTCTTGCATAACATATTTTCAGCTTTTGGTAATAGTTTCCAATCTATTTCGCTTTGCCATACAAGTAAATCGATGGAAGGCACTTTCACATTGCCGAAAACACTAAGCGAAACCGCACCTTGATCGTTAGCAATGATTTCAACTCTGCCGTTTTTGTAAACTCCAACACAAGAATACGTGGTACCAAGATCGATCCCGATGATTGTGCCAAACTTGACATCCTGAAAATTCGTGTGTCAAATACGAAAGAATTAGCAAGAATAGAGGAAAATTCACCTTCTTGTCATCACTTTTGTTTTCATCTGTGAATACGCCACTGTAGAACAGGGCCACCAACCCCAAAATGAACAATGTTTTCATCGTAAACACTTATGAGTGATCTGAAACAGAAGAGATCAGAAAAACGACACACCTGGTACACGAAAAGCGGAAAATGAGAAATGGTAAACCGCAACGCTCTTAAGTATCCACGTCAGCGAACGTGGCATCACACGTGTGGCCAGCAGCAATTGATCGATATTACTACTGACTACTGATATAATTAGGGTATTAGAAGGATCAATCCAGCCAATGAAGATAAGAAGAAAACGGGAAGAAAGGACGAGAGCGATTCTTTGACGTCTTCGGGTCATCGATGAACTTAAATACGGCTACGCTTCGTCATCACTGCAACGCTGACGTCAGCCGTCCGCGCCCGCCCCGTTGCTATGCGTCGTCAGCATAGTGAGAAACCGCGCTCCTCTAGCGAATTCATGTCCTTAACCGCAAACTATCCTTATTTTCAGTAAGGAAAGCTTCATAGAAACTGTTGATACGAACTTTGGACGGCTACAGACTCTGCAGTCGAATGAACTTTAGAGGAAATGAGAGGAAGTGAAGAAAAAACGAGAAAAAAAGCCGAAAGGGAGTATTCTTGTTAAAGAGTAGTATATGAAGTAAGCAACGATCGTCCTCCACTGAATGTTCTATAGCTAGCTCTGTGTGGCCACTGTGCACGGTAGACAAGATACCAAAGATGTAGAGAACAACTAAAAGGATACCAACATATGAGCAAAACTCGGCACCTCAACTGCGCTCCGAACTCGCGATTACCCTTCCCAGGGGTTTTCGAAGCCAAAACAAGTTAGAAATTTGTAGTCCTGTTCCAGTCCCTTTCAAGAACACCATTCGATAGTCACTACTATTACAATCTCGCTCGGATTCGTGTGATGTTTACGATTCTAATGAAAAGTGACAGCACTATACTAGTTTCCATGTAGGTCTCCACCTATCGAGATGAAAATGTAGACACGTCATCAGTTTTTGTTCATTGACATTTGGGGAACATTTTGAAAATGTGAAAAGCGGTAATGGTATGGTGCACGGATGCTGCGTGGCGGAAAAGTCCAGGGTTTTCCAGAACCGTATCATTGTGACTTCTCACTATGCATCGAGAAGTTCACAATGAAAAAGCTCTTCTAGGAAATTTCATCGTGCAATGTAAATGACACGATTATTTTTAGACGGATAACAGTTGCGGCGTCTGTAATCGCACGTCTCGCAATGCCCACGCGCAACTAGGTGTCCTCTCCGCGACAACTTTGTCATGCGTCGCGGCAATTCCCGAAGAATTCACTTCCATAGAGGTCCCTTATCATGAAATCCCTCCGGTTTTTGTGGATACGGGTGATAGTGTCTGGATAGGTCTAATATCACTTCAGGTATTGTTATGTTTTGCCGATTAGTCTCCAGAATTTCTTCTTTTCATTTCCATAAGGGAACCGTCGAGTAATTTCAGATTCGTTGGGTTGTTCTTTCAGAAGTAATTAGTGCAGAGAACGATTGTCGTACAATTTTAGCTCTCTACGCCGTCATATTAATTTTGTCACTCATCTATTGGTCAGCTTTGCTTCGTCTGTTTCGGATAACAAACCTAGTTTCTGTCTTAACTCATTACTCATATACACCATACAAAACACTTTACAGCACATAAAGAGATATTTTCATGTCAAAATGGAAGTGTTTTTAGACTTATGTCCAACAATAGGCCTAGATGCCGTTCTTATGGAGCTAAGCAGACAGTGTTTGGGAGCTATCGATTTTTTAAGTCAAATATGTCATGTTTAAATTCCGGAACTAGGTTCCCATCGTCTCGTGCTTCATCGGTTCGATCTGTGTGTATCGGAGGATTCGGTTTGTTTACGTGTTTCTTCGGTCGGATCGATTTGCCTCCTCGGAAAGGGGCTGTGCATCCATCAGTGTGGCGTGACGAACGACGGGCTGTTCAGAGTTCATATCTTTTTCAGCGCACTATCTCTTAGCCAAGCCCTAAAGTTTTAAAGCATTTTGCCTTAGTTTAGGTAACTGTTGAGTACTTCGTTTATTATATATTTCGTACCACTACAATTTTCCATCTGATTCCTGATATTACGATCTTATTGATTCCGAGCTTCATAGCGGTTTACCATCGCAATTTGAAGATGTTATTAAGTGTCGAATGCAATACACAGCATAGGATGCAACTCCCAATAGGTTCATCGAATTTGGGAATGATTTCGATGCTTCCAATCTGAAAGCTCCACTAAGATTAAATCCATGCTGTGGTAAAGCCGTTTGACGCAGTGGTTGGAGTTGTCCTGCAGCACACATGTGATCAGCGGTTCGATCACGCGGCCAGGGCTCACCAATCCTTCCATTCTTCCGGGGTCGGCAAATTGGTACCAGTTTTGTCCGGGACAATAGCAGCACTGAGTTGATAGATCGGTAGGCTACCTCAAAGCACTGTATAGGCTAGATCAAGTACCTCAAACGATGGTTGCTGAAGTCGATTGCATGGCACATCCCACAGAGATCGGTCAACGCCAAGAGCTTTATAGTTTTTGTGTGGCAAAACCTAAGGACTCATAACTCCTTTCTTTTTAAAAACACCAGAAGAGCGTACCATACAAAAGCTGTAAGCGATCAAGACCTACTATGGAACGCTGACGCGCAGCAGGAATAGGTGGTTGTGCTGGTGAGCTGCTTGTTCGGGTGATCCCTCGATGGGTGAAGGCATAACTAGTTGATGGCAGCGACCTCTGATGTTAATTAACGCCTCAGCATGTCGAGTACCCATGCTTGACGAATCGCGACGGTTAATTTCTCTGCGAAGTGATTTATGCTGAGAAGTTTCGTAACGTCTAATAAGTAACTGAGAGGAAATCGCAACTAGTAAAATGTCGATGCCTACCTGTTAGATCTTAAAGACAAGTAGCTAAGCCTAAATTTGAGGGACAAGGGTGGTGACGCTGGTTGTGGTGCATACGTGGGAGAGCTTCCTGCCTCGTTATCTCACATCCCCATCCCACATCTCACTCAACTGAAACTAATGTTCTGAGTCCTAACGATATGTAAAGATGCACCAAAATACTGGTTTCCAGTTAATTTCGACATATACAAATTACTTAACTGTTACTAAAGTCATGCCACTCACACAGAGGTCACATGGGATAGCAAGGTTTTTTGTATGTTAACAATTTGGTCAACTTGCTTAAAAGTAAACTGAAAAGGAAGTACTTAATCTTGACATGATAAGTTATCAGCGTTCTTCTAACTACTGCAGTAGGTGATTTCATCGCTTTCGGTGTTTTGAGCGGATTTAGAGGATTAATAAATATTTAAGTAATCATAAGTAATCACTTGCTTGAGCATACACAATAGCCAATTTTTTGGTAGTTGAGGAAGTGCTTTGGTAAGTTAGAACAGATATGGTAGTAACCTTTCATATTTCCTAAAACTAAGTTAATGAGAGAATGGTTTTTTAGTTGAAAAATATTTTTGAAGTATTTTTGTCACGATTATGTGGGGATTTTGTTATTCGGCCATGTGATTTGTTATGGTGTAGTACTGGCTCAGTATTGAGATATTTCCGATTCGAACATGTATGAATTTGAATTTTAAAAGTTTTTTAGCGGTTCCATCCATCTATCCGTTCCCATTGGGAAGCCTAGCTAGGAGTAAACCATTACCAAGATCCGCCACCGTCCAGGTATCAAAGTCTCATGGTGGTAAATCCCCTCTGATCCACAAGGACTGCGACTGCCTGTCGTGGTGACGACCTAGGACAGACTTTGGCCAGGTTGTCCTCGGGATTCCAGGGAACCACAATGGCTTAACCAACAAATCTCCGAAAAATGGTGATTATGTTGGCGCCCGCACAACTAGTGAGGACGGGTCGTTCAAGTTCAAGTAAGTAAGTATCACGTTTTTAGCGGTTCTGTTTAAAAGGCTTGAACTCAGAGAGAGGATGCTTTGTAATCCATTGGTGGTAGTCCTTTACGTTGTGTTGGAGTTAGTTCAACTAAAATTTTTTGGTTGTGTATGGCTTTCAGATACATTACCAACTTTTGAATTTTACATTGTCAAAAAAATAAGAATTATATGGAGATACAATTCTTCCACAATCCATCACGTCGTTTGCTTTGTTTACCAAAATTTTCGTTTCCTTAATGGCCCTTTGCTTTCCACAATCTGCAGCCTTGATATACATGATACTTGAACTTGAACGACCCGTCCTCACTAGTTGTGCGGGCCTCATCATAATCACCATTTTTCGGAGATTTGCTGGTTAAGCCATTGTGGTTCACTAGAATCCCGAGGTCAGCCTGGCCAAAGTCTTACCCAGGCCTTCACCACCCCAGGCAGCAACGGCCCTCGTGGATCAGATTCGCCACCATGCGAATAGTTTGATACCAGGACGGCGGTGGATCCTGGTATTTGATTTACTCTTAGCTAGGCTTCCTGATGGAAACACCGGACCCCTTCCCGGCTTGGGAGACCCTGCCGGGGACGAATACCCGTCTGTACATTGCAGTCCGGCACCCAGGAACACCTCCCAACCACGATGAGGTGGTAAACCGTTGTGAGGTAGCCTTGATATGAAGTTGTTTTTAGATTTCCTACTTAATAGAACACTAGAACATTGTGTAGTTGGAAAATGAGGATCTCTGAGATTGATCAAGGTGTGATATACTGGGACTTTTCGTTTTTATTTTTTTCTTCATATAATGTTTAAATGCCATCTGGTGATTAGAAATGCATTGACCTTGAGGCACTGAGAGCTTGGAAGTCATCAAGAGTTGTCCGGTCCCCGAAAATTTTGATTTGAACATAAGGAGTTCTGCGAGTTGCAGCCTAAGCTTGCTAAACTCTGCAGAGGACCGATTTAAAAAGATGTTAGTAATTGGGTAGCGGTGATTTAACTGAATTGGCTCTTTCCGCAAAAAAGCTTACCCTTAACCGTTTACGGGATAATAGTGCCTGCTTTCCGAAATACGGACGTTACGATCAGTGTTCGCAAGAGTAATGGAGAGGGATATGTATGCGTTCCGATCTACTTGAAGTTTATATCATCTATCTTTCACCATGCCAATATCATTAGAAATGACAATCTTGTCCCAGCAGTTCTTCCAGAATTCGATAATGCTTTGCATATTCTATTTTGTTAGTGGGGGCTCGTAAATTCCTTATTCCTACACACTCAGACTTGGACATCTGGAGAGACTTCAACCAGTTTTCGTCTAAAAAGCACTTTTTTCCCATGTCATCCAACAGAATGATTGGTGCCTATACGGTGAGAAATCAGCACTCAACCTGCACGACATTGGCAGCCATCGCCTTTTTAAGTATATGAAATTGGACTTTTTCGAAACTATGTTGTTGATTCAAAGGCTGACTTTCGATAAACCTCGACATTAACAATCGATATTTGTATATATATTCTTACGAACCGCCCTTGTTGAGCTAATGGGAGGTTGGTATATAAAGGTGTCGTTGTTGTTGTCGCTGTTGTTCAATGGCTGACGTTTCGCCGACTTCACTTCCTCAGAGCGTGGACTTATTCTGTGTAATAATAGTCTTACATTTCGGTTTAATATCTGTAGTATTGGTACAGATCTGATATATAAATAAACGCTTTTTGTTTGAAGAACTATTCATCGTACTGTTGGATGTGGTACCGTCCGTGTGTTGTACACGTGGAATGACGAATTAGACCCACCCAGGTCAGCAAATCAGTTTGAAAAAGGGCGTCAGGTCACGTGTGATAGTGAGGCATTCGTCTTTCGGGTCCACCTTTTACGTTGAAATTTGTCCAAAACACTGCGAGAATTTTGCATGTTGATATTTTTGGTTCTTGGGCTAGGAGCCGGACACGCTTCAAAGTCATCACATTGTAGCTCTATGCCATGTATATGCCTATATGAGTATGTACCCGCTTCCTCAATCTATTCTTAAACACATGCCTTAGACGAAATCAAGTATGTTCTACTTGTGCTCATCTATAATCTCCATCCGTCCTGTTAGATCAGATTACACAGTTTTCTGGACTGCACAAACGATCACAGAGGCGGTTGCGGACTAATTGATAGTGGGGTTATTGAAGTGGGCACATTTGCTTAACAAAGGCAGTTGGTAAGAATGTATACAAGTTGTTAGTTTCATTCATTTGGAGGTTACTGTTAAGACTAGTTTGATCATGGAGGCTGTACGAAGTTTCTTCTACTCAGGAGTACTCCAAAGATCTGTTGAGCTCCATATCAATGATCACTAGAATTTCGCTATTTTGCAGGAACATCACTGCTGATGTGAAGAAAGGAGGCTGAAAAGGTGATACGATCTCACCGAAAATATAGCATCACTCGAGAACATCATGTGAAAACAAGGATGAGAAAACAAGGGACGAAAATCGATGGCTGGCAGCTATGCCATCTTCACTTCTTTAATAATTTGGTTCTCATAACAGTAGCTATTAGCAATAATAACCATTTTCAACTATACTTGTGTAGGGCTCTATTTTCTGCTGAACTAGAGGAAGCGTTTCTCCTGACAAATGATTTCGGGACGAGCATGTTGAGGTTTATGGCTGAGCATGTTTCGGTCCAGAAAGCAGAGTGTACCATTGACAGCTTTTTACAGTGGGAGAGAAAACGACGTGAACTAAAAACCGTTTATAATCCCGTTAGTTGCGAGCAATTCCAACAGGAACTAAGTATGGTCTCCGAGATTCGTCATTGCACTTTTCTGTTTCATTGGGCGGTACTGGTTCAAGGAAAGGGAACTGCAAAACTTTTTTTGTGGAATTTTCTATTTTTACTTGCTTTAGTGTGAAAGTAATCACGAATTGTTTGATGGACTGCGCCATCAGGGTTATCGTTTACTGTCAAGCCCTCCGAGAATAAACGTTCCAATTTGTTTTTTTTTGTTAGAAATATCATCAACCGTTACCGATAACCTTGCAAGCCACTTATTTGTTAAGTGAGTGCATTAATGTTAGCAAAGAAGCTCGCATTTACTCAAGTGCATTCCTTCAGGTGAACAGAGATAGTAACTATCACAAATACATGTGACATACTTGGCAATCCGACGCAGGAGAGACATAGATCTCCGGGTGAATACCTATATTACGATGAAACTGTGTGGAGAGATCCGTGGATGGTAGTCGAGAAAATTATTAGAGGAATTTTATGGGAGACCTTAGTGTTAAAGATGAAAATATTAGAGAGAGAAGAATGTTTTAACGTTAAGTTAACGTGAAAAATGGACTCCAAATACCGTAATTTCCCCAAGAAAACGTGTATGGAACATGCTAGAAAGTAAACCAGGAATTTCCGACCAGCTTTTTAGTTCATGATTGGAACAGTCATTCTGAGGTGCACTTTTCTTTGATAAGCTAACACGATGTTGATAAAGAACTTTATTAGGCTGTTTCGGCGCCTTAACTTTCTTTAGGGCCAAGTTGATTCGAGTCGATTGCCCAGTTTTTTGGGTATGAATCTTCGTGCTCGCATCGAGTCGAACTCAGATGAGCACTGTCCGAATGAAGTGAGGCTACTGGATTCGACTATATGCGGTCACGAGGACCCACATCCGAAGGAGAAACAACTGTGGGCAATCTACTCTAATGAATCCAGCTCTGAAGAAAGTTGAGGCGCCGAAGGAGCGGAATAAAGTTTCCTATCAAGTTCATGATAGCTTATCAATGAAAAAGAACGCAAGCTGATTAGTCATGCCAAGGTTAAAAGGAAGTCGGTTTTTGATACACTGTTATGCTCTCTGATAGCTGATAATAGTGCCGACTACATAGGAATGAATTATGCGGAGGGAAATAAACGATTTCAACGGATAGTCAGCATCAACAACGGTCATATGTAAAGGAATAACTGCGGAGTGAGGTTATTTCATTCGGGCGGTGCTCCACTGGCCTCGACAAGTTCAAAATTCTTTGTGAATAGTAAAAACTCGAAATGTGGAGTTGTGGCATATTGTAAATATGATATATTTATTGTAAATGTGGTCTTCGGCGTTGATCAATCCCTTGGCGAGGTGTTATGCTTTCGACTCTATTCATAGCATCGTATGATGGTTCGATACATTTCTCTTATACTGCAGCATGTGGTGGTCAATCGTTCAAATAAGTGCTCTTACTGATCCAGGCAGCTGTTGCGGGTATGTGCCAACGTCGAAGCGATGGTAGGCCTTCTGAGCCAAGGGCTACTATCTACTTTTATCAAGAACTAGCGATGTTTTTTGATGTTGTGTAAGTGAACACAATTGATCACGTTGATGGGGGGTTGTGCGTTTTTAAAAACTGTAAACATCGTGAAGAATGAAGGTTATGTAGAGTGCACTCAAGTTCTCAATCAAGTTAGAACTACTGTTCCTAGTACGCTTTTTTGTTATTTAGATGCTGCACAAATTCTCGTCTCTTTTACTTTGTTCTATTTTTATATTTTTCTTTTTCGCCCATTTCTAGGTTTCTCCAATAGTCCATTACGTTTTTTTTGTGCCTCGACGTAGGCAGTTATTTGAAAACTGATGAAGTAAAGCATTTCTGAATAATGTTCTTGTCTATGAAGAATTGACCTGGAGACTATCGTTCTGCAGAGTCTCATTACTTCTTGCATTCATAAAAAGCAAACCACATCTTCATTTTTTGGCTCATTCTGGTTTTGCTTTCTCGGAGATATTTAAAACTGTGTGCTGGTTACGAAACGATTGAAGTATGTTCATTTTCATGTTGTCATGACGGGTGGCACCGCTTCGGTAGATATGGCAGTCTTCTGTTTCGATGTGATAGCCGCTGCCGTCAACAATCATTCTGATCCACCTGTGCCGGCCTCAATACCTAATGACAAATTGTGGGTTTTACCAGTTGTGTTCATCTTTATTACTCTCTCTTTAACTTCATTAGTGAGTATTCAATTTATTGATGCTTCCATAACAGTTTGAAAAAGTTTGCTATTAAACTTCGTTTTTGTTTGGCTGTGTTTTCTCCTTCGGTGTAGGTCCAACAACAGCGTTTCGAGCCAAACTGCACATCGATGAGTACTTCAAAAATGATTTGCTCCAAAGTACAAATTTATGAGTGCTACTTTATAACAGCAACAAATGCTTTAATATTATGCTAACACGTACTCGACGACGCATAATTTCACTCTGCGGACCTGTTGGTTTTTCGAAAATAGGCAGTATTATTTCGATGGGCGCCTGTAGCGAAGGAGTCGGCGGCAATCTGCCATACACATGGGATGGATCCACGCGCCCCAGTCTCACCAAGCTCTCCATGCCTCCTGAGTTGGCAAATAGTTACCATACCTGTCTGAGAGGATAGCAACATTGATTCGATACATCGATAGTCCACTGCGAGTCATTGTAAAGGCCAGATATGCAATCAGTCATCTTCAGCGATGCTTAATGTAGTCGAATGCACGGCGCATCCCTCAGGGATTCATCAACACAGAGAGCTTTATCTTTCTTTATTTCATACCCAAAAAACTTGATAGGTTGGAATCACAGACATTATTCCATCTATTTTTGGGTATAAATGCTGTAATCCTTATAAACACATTGTTGTGAACATTTGGAAGTGCTTTCGAACTCATTTTGAATCTGTTCCTGCATTTTTTGTACCTTGTGTTTCCTTACGATAAAGCCATGAACCATAGTAGCGGTTAGAAGTGAAATAACGGTCAATCGCCAGTCAATTTACCAATGAATGAATTCATTCGAGAAAAGGTTTTTTGTATATTTCCTAACGCGGAATGGAACCTTCCCTGGCCGACGCTCGCCACAACATCTATTTTGAATAAGCAGTCGATTGATTACAAGAAGATAAGAAAAACAGTTCTTTGCGCAAAAATAAACCACCGAGAACAAAATGATTTCTATAGAGGTCATACAAGCCATTGTGTGTCACGTCATCGTGTAAGTTTTAAAAGGTGAGGGTTTTGTGAAAAATCAATTTTTGTTTTGCTTTGACATACCTTGAAGCTTTTAACATATTTCAGTCGAAGAGCCAGAAAAGCACAGTTTCAATTAAGGAGGTGAAGCACTGTTCCATGGGAGACAAAGCTAGTGTCATGTTAAGCAGAAAAATGTGCTTCATAAGATTCGAAATTGAATCGTAAAGTTCCTGGAAAGGAATAGATGTTAGAAATAAGGGAATCCTAAGCCGTACTTCAGCTGGCTTCTATCTTTATAAGTGACCCGTTTGTTTGACAGCCCATGGCACTGCCCTTTTTTCTGTCGCATTTACCGTACTCTAAGCTAAATGAGAAATTTTAAAAAATGACAATTGTTATGATTTGGAGCAAATAAAGACCATTTCTAACCGCTGTATTGCTGTCTCGTTATGGCTGAACGACGTTACTGGATGTTGGATGCGATATACAGTTAGGGGTTATTCTTCAACTGGCTCAGCAAAGCTGGAAATGAGTTGGACATTTCCAGTTCGAAAGAGCGGTTGAGAATAAACATAGAATCCGACTGCTTACTTTTAGCTACCTAAGCAAACATCGTAGAGAAAGGACATTATACCGAGAGTGTGATGCTTTTCGTTTCCCATTTCGCTGACCCACTAGCTGCTGCTCGATTATGCGACGGAGATGAATAGGAGTTTAACTCCTTGACGACTACGCGCATTGATTTTAATACTGATGAGGCTGACGGTCTCTACGGACCGTAGATATTCATTTCAACGTGTGCGCTTTTTACTGGATTGTTTCGCTCCACAGAGATTTTTTCATCATTTAGTCATCATTTATTAACGGGTAAACTGCAGCCTTGAAAAAGGAACACATTCATGACTCCGACGTATATCCATCTAATGTCGCTTGAAAGGTTTTGCTGCGGTATATGCCAACTAATGAAATCTCGATTGTTGTAGAATTGGTTGTTTTCGTAGAAACAAGTTATCATTAATGAGTAATCAGTCGAGAATCGCTTTGTATAAAAGGACACTGATAGTAAGCTTATTTCATTCGTACGGTGCTCCACTCCACTGGATTCAACTCAATGCGACTTCGAAGGCTTACATCAAAGAAGTAACTGCTGTCGGCACTCGACTCGAATTATTGTGAGTCTGAAGGAGACAAAAGCGTCTTAGCTACAATAAAAGATTGCCACAATCGCAGATAATGCGCCAGGATATCGCTGTGATAAGTTTGGTTTTTTATCAATATGTATCTGTCCTTTAATAGAATCCCAACAACTAGTATTCGTTCAGTAACTCCCATCTCCTATCGCTGTATTTTCAACTGTTCTGTTTATTAAATGTTCATTTACACTTTTTCCATAACATTTTAACAGAAGGCTTGCATATGGTTAAAGTTCATTTCCGTAGGAGTGGCTGCTGACTGCTAGCATTGACTTACGTTAAAATATCGGATTATTTTGTGTGACTCAGTGGAAGACATATAGTAAATGTGGATGTTTATCTATGGATTTCATTATGTGTGCGTCTTCATGCCGATAAATAGATGTAAAGTTTGGAACTCTCCCTACTTTTTCTGAAGTAGCACAGGAGTAGAGGAGTAATGGAGTCAATTTAACCTCTGTTTATTTATGGCGGTAGTTCTAGAAATGCTGAATAATAATTCGGGCTAACTATGAAATATGCCTATTTCAGTCCTCTTTTTGTGACTTGGAAAAAAGGAAGCCATCGACGTTTGAGAGGTTGTATAGGAACATTTTCACAACTTCAGTAAGTTTAAACCATGTTCTTATTCACATAAATCCAACAAATTCACTACAGGATTTTTCATTCGCTCCTAAGAATGATGTTGTGTTTAGTGTCATAAGCAGTCCTCCTTGCAAATTTCGCGTGTAATTGGAACTCGATTAACAACAAAGAAGTTCATGCTGTGCAACTTCTTAGATGTTGCACATTTTATGACAGGGTTACTGTTGTGTCTGATGTTCGCGTGCTCAACTGACGACTGTTACTTTATTGAAAATTACCATTTATCCGTTTCTTTGGATAACTTTATGCTTAGATTAATTAATTTTTTTAGGTTTCTAATTCACCACTTTATATTCGCCGTTGTGTGGTGATCAATTTAAATTTTACTTCTGGTTATCAATGATGTCCAATTGCAGCCTTCATACGGGTCTTCGAGATTATGCTATTACAAGTGCGTTTCATGATTCACGTTTCGATCCTGTACGAAAAGAAGAAATCCCTCATCTTCACTGCAGTGTGAGTGCCACGCGAGTTATAGTTTTCGTTAGATTTTATATTGTCTCACACCAAGCGTACAGTATATACATATAGCCATACTTGTGTTCGCTGCGACACTAGTAGCAATATGGTTTGTGCACGTAAATATTGCATTTATTACTTGTTTCAAGAACAAGCTCATTACCCAAGTGTTCATGTTGTCCAGTGGAAATCTTTTTTAGGTGTCTTTATTAATTAAATTTGAATCTGCTCATGATTATATGGACTGGACTATCGGTATGCATGGGATACGTATTCACTTCATGGACGGTAGTATTCGTAGAGACGCCGTTTACTTACCGGAAGTCGCATATGAGCAGGGTACTTGTGTAGGATATTGATTTAAAACAACAAAAAATTACTTCTCCTTTTAGGTTGGGACCATCTTGAAACGATAAATAACTTGATAGAAAAGGGAGGGTATCGAGGTCGTATTGATGAGGGGTTTCGACTCTCATTGCAAGTGACACGTTTTCAATCAAGTAAGATAATGATCTCGTACGATGTAAGTTCCTTTTACGCGCCATTTTTTTTCTTTCCACAGCTGACTAGTTTTAAATCACAATGACGATGGATGGGCGATTGAGGGGTGATTGCTAATGACATTGGTCAATAAAAAACTAGACGAAAGAAAGGCGAAACGAGGGATGCGCATGATGTGGTGGTGAACGCGTTACCCCCGGAAAGCGTAATAGCGTGTTCGATCTCCAACTCAGACACCTGCCGTCCAGAGTTTTGCAGAAATCTCTACATCGTTGTGGTTGATTTCGCATAATACCCTGCCATAAAAATTGTACTAGGCAGTAATTAAAAAGTTTAACATTGTAACTAGTTTTAATTGTAAATCGGCATATTTCTGAGGTAGACTCCATGATTGACATTTATTGGTTTTTGTATATCTCACTCGTAGATAGAATCCGTTTGTGTAAACAAAAATACAGTGAAATCATTTTTTTTCTGAATCCATCTCGTTGTGCCTCTCCACGTCAGTGCCGAGACATATTTGTTGTGTTTCGTTATCTTTATTATCAAGGAAGCAACATACGCAATGTGAAATTGCTAAACGTTCCATTTTATTAGGAAGATGTAGTGTTATTGGCAGAAACTTTGAAATGCTATGATTTGTATAGCACGCAGTTTTGTAATGCAGAGTGAGAACTATTAAAATAAAGGATAAAGCTCTCGGCGTTCATCAATTCCTGAGGGGTGCGCCATGCATTCAATTTCATTAAGCATCGTTGGAGATGATTGAACGCATATCTGGCCTTTAAAATGACTTGCGGTGGCCTCCCGATGTACCGAACCAGTGTTGCTTTCCTCCTAGACAAGTCGGGTACCAATCATGTGTATTGCAGGACGCCTCCGACCACTGCTCTGCGCGCATATTTTTTATTAAAAACTATTAGGATCTGCCAATTTTTGTTCCGAAAACATGAAAATTATGGTAGAATGTTTAAGATCTGAAGGCGACGAATATCTCATGGAACTTGCTATCAAGGTTTTTGAATACTTTCTAGGCAAGTAATTGTTTGGGTGCTTTAGGTGTTTTGAAAAGTGATATTGGCTGATTACCCTGAATTAGGCCGTTTTGTTGTTTTTGTTCTCTTCGGTTTTGCATTATTATTATTATGTAATACGTACTCATTGTTATGGGGTTGCGTTTTTATGTTGATGGAGTACTGTTGCTGAATACACACAGCTCAGTTTTTGATGAATCTCATCGACTTCATGGTAGTAGTTCTCCATTGCCAGGGTTTAGAAAGTACGGAACGAATACAAACATGAATTACGACAGAATCACTGCAACTTTTTGAAAAAACAAGTTTGGCCTCACGAAGTGTTCAGAGGCACTATCTTGGTCAGGCTATTGTGCTGAATATCGTCGATTCAACCAACCAAAAATTGTTGATGAAGAAGTACCACAAGAGGAATGCGAAGCATAATGAATAGAAGTGGACCGTTAGTGTATACATATTCGTTGCCTCGACGACGCCAACCAATCGCTCTCCATTCTGAGGGTGAAAAAGTAGAACAAGACTTGTCCGGATGATCTAGAAAGACCGATGATTGCCTGTGATGAAAACTCGAAAATGCCATACAAGGGCTTCTACTGGATTCTAGGATTCTAGATAGGATCAGAGTAGGATTCAGCGGCGTTCATGAAGAGGACGAAAATCTGAAGTTTTACACGAACCCATGCGGAAATCTGAACACTCCAGTGGAATACAGAGTAAGACAACGAAATGAAAGAAATGCTGAGATTCTCACAATATCTGCTGAGGATGGATCTTAGGAAAAAAATTGTAGCCAAAGTGAATTATAACCACAATGATGTTGAGGTATTTGCAGAACTCCGAACTGCAGGTGCCTGCGGTGGGATCGAACACGCTGTTACTCTTTCTGGGGACCAACGCGTTCACCACCACACCACGCGCATCGTTCGTTTCGCCTTTCTCTCAGCCGTGTTTTATAAATGCTATCATGTTTTATATGTATTATGGTATGGAAGTGAACGCGTTAGCCCTTGGAAAGGGTAGTAGCGTGTTCGATCCCCACCGCAACCGTCTGCGTTCCAGAATTTTGCGAACATATTAGCATCGTTGTGGTTATTATTCACATTATATCCGGCCATGAAAAAGAATAGGTAGCAGATAAAAAATTGACTGCATTATAAATGAACTTTTAACTTTTATTTGTTGCTTACTCTTTTTTCATGGCGGCGTACAATGTATAATACAACAACGTTGGTGCTGAGATACGAACAAAACTAGAGAAAGAAAAGGCAGAGGATAGAAGTTATAACATTGTGATTTTGACTGCAGTTTCATCTTAATTGGTTTCGGTGCCGATTTTGGCACCTTGGATCATTTCTGTTGACAGGTAATCGCTGATAGCATCGATACTTACTTGGATGCTTGGTCGGCCTCTCCTCACTGGTTTTGCAGGTCCCAGCACATCCTCCATTTTTCGGAGTTTTGCTGGTTTAGCCTTTGTGTTTCCCTAGACTCCCGGGGTCAGCCTAGCCAAAGTCTACCGCAGGTCGTCACCACCATGAGCAGCCGCTGCCCTTGTGGAACAAAAGGAGATTTGCCACTAGATCCTAGTTTGGCACCAGGACGATAGTGGATCCTGGTATTGGCTTGCTCTTAAGTGAGCTTCTTTATGGAAACGCCGGGTTACTCAACTCCTGAGCTTGGGAGATACTGTAATGGGGAGGGATAAATATCTCCGCTGTAATACCAGGTAGTATGCAGCAGCGATATGGACGCATATGGCGCAGTCGTCGTCGGTGCTGTATAATATACATGGGATAAATTCCTGCGTCCCAGGCGCACCAAGACTTCCATCCTTTCGGGGTCAGGAAATTGATACCAGACTTGTCTGGGAGGATGGAAGCACTGGCTCGATACATCGGTAGGCCACCATGAGTCATTGTAAAAGCCAAATATGCATTTAATTACATCCGACGATGTTTTTTGAAGTCGAATGCCTGACGCATCGCTCATTTGTTGATTAAGGCCGAAAGCTTTTTTAACTTTATGCAGCAGAGATGAAAAATTAAATTTTCATTAGGAAATTTTCAAGTCCATAGTGCGAAAATCTCCCATTTCGTTTACGTTGGCCTAGTAATTCTAGTTGAGGTTAAAAGCTATTCAAGCAATTCCATCTCTTATTTCGTCTTGTTCTAGAAAACATACGATGTCCTCCTCGGCCATATAAATTGAACTCAAAGAGGTCGTCCTATACTCTCTGCACACAAACAGATTGTTTTCCCTGACCAGTGCTTATTCCAAGTGACAGGTGTCCAAGATTTGGAACAAGTGTTAGGTTATTCGGAAATTAATGTATGATCTGTAATTTTGTTGTTGTCATATAAGTATTAGTAATGTTAGTAATGTTTTTTTTTTCCGAATCCTATACTGTTATACATCAGCACAGGGATTATTTCATATCTTTTCGTTCCGTATAATTAAGTTATTAGTACATTTTGTATTTTTGTCAAATATTGCTAGTTATAAATTGAGATATTAAAACAGAGATTTCGATCAATTTAATTTTGCGGGTTGGGACTTGGACATATACGATGCAAACAGCTCTTAACATTAGCGAAGTATTGGATAAGAGAAATGTTAACGAACTCTCACTAAAACGTTCTCTTGGAAAATATCGTCGTGGAGGACTCGATATTGAAACTAAGCGAGGAACGTACAGCAAGCAAGAACATGCAGGACTCCACATGAGCATTTTATCTATTTCGTAGCGTCGTCAACCATTATGCGACTATAATCAGCTGTTCTAAACTTCCTCATTGGAAGTCACGAAAAAGCGGCTCTGAAGAAGGCGATACTGCCGAAACGTCAACTAGTGTTGTATTGTATTGTGTTCTTCTATGGAAGTAAATGTATGCTGTTTAAAAACCTCGTGATTGCTGAACAAGAAAACGACACATTCATATTCCAATGCCGAGGTTAATAGAAAATCCTGGGAAGTATTTCGTAGCATCTAAAGAAAACTGGAAAGTTCAAGAAGCTCAACAAGTGGGTGCTTCACAAGTTGGAGGAAGATCAAAAAATTCGTCTTTCGTGTTGTAACTTGCGGTAAGAAATTTATCCACCATGATAAGCGGCGACGAGTGGCGCAGCGGTTGGGCCACGGTGAGGCTCTACATTTATCACAGGTGAAATTACGTGGAAAGAAGGTTGTGTCAACAGTTTGTTCTGCCGTTGGTTTGACGCGTAACGTTTTCCTTAGTCCGGGTGAAGTGGTTGCGGTGGTGAAGCACTACGGCAAATTGACTAAGGTCGATCCACCACAAACTTGAAAGTTTACATTCATCATTGGTCAGTAGAGAGGGAGTAGTCCTCCATGATAAAGCACAGACAAACATGGTAAAATCACCAACCTCGCTATATTTGCCACAGCTTTCTCCAATAGAATATCACTTGAGGAGTCTCAACTTCCCGTATTTTAGATGCTTGAGAAAGCAAAACCGACCATTTCATCACCTCCAGAGCTGAAGTTTTATCAAACCGAAGTATATTGATGGCTCTTATTCCAACCAATACAATTTTTCCTCAATTCGAATAAACGCTGTGATATCATGTGTCAATTTCCGAACGATATAATAGCTTATCCAGATGGCACTATTAAATTGATTTCACAAAGATAGTTGACAACAACGAGTTTTTCATCGTTGTGAAAAATCTGAATATACAGTGTTTTTCAGGAATATGTGCGATACAAACGTACACCTCTAAAGTGATCTCGCCTTAGCTAATACTGCCTCAAGGTTATGCCGACCAACACAACTAACCATTTGATATAATTCTATGTATATTATGTATAAAAGGGAGCGGTGTCATTCAGGTGTTTATGCCTTTTATTAGTACTGAGTGTTCCTTTCAAAGAAATTGCTCAGTTAATTTGCCGCATTTCATAGAATTTGATGTTAACGATCTGAACATAAGAGTACTTGAACACCGTATTTTTAAAACAGTATTTCTTTATAATCAATCAACGATATCACAATTTTCGGCAAGGCATTTCACACTAAGGAGTTATTAATGA